AGACTAGGGTATAAGCATCGTCTTCTCTATTTTTCACTAGAGCCATGCCCAGGTTATCAACACCCTCGTTATCAACAATAACATTTATCGTTGCTGCTTTTTGCTCAATACTCATATAATTGTCCCACCATCCTCTGAGTTGGCCAGTAAAACCTGCAATAATCATTTTGCAAATATTTCTATCTGTATTTTTAACACTTTTACAGATACTTACATACATAAGCATTCTATGAACAAGAATAGTTAACTGTTTATCAGTCAAACCATCAAGATTCCATTCATAAATTTCAGACCCACTATAAGAGGTATTAGTCTGATTCCAGTCTTGTTCCTCTATTAACACATCTTGAAGAGTTGGTCTGGAATAATAATAGGTATGCATGCTAGGTTTATGGGCATACTTCGTATTACTATTATTTTTGGGATAACCATGAAGTTTATTAAATTCTAAGGAAACATGATTTTTAAAATCAAAAGTTTTTTCCATTTCTTCTGCAAAATTGTTTGACAAATCAATAGGCTTTGCACCAAATTCAGACAATTTTTTTATCAAGAAGTTCTTCTAAATCATAAATCGATTTGAATTTAAAATTCCGAATCTCAGGGGGCCTTTGCACATGAGTAGCAATAGTCTGAGCTTCTGAATTTCCTTTAGAAGTAGAAGCTGTATCAGAAGTCTTTAAATCATTTTTTATTTGAATTACTAAAGCAATTAATTCATCTAGTTTTTTATCGAGAGAACTAATATGTTCACCCAAAACTTTAACATAAAGTCCCAAATAATTATTTTGAGAAATTAAATTATTTATTTCATTAATGCTAACTGCCGCAACATCTTCTTCAACAATTTTTTGAAAGGCAGTAAAGGTGATACCAGTACTATTTGGTAAAATAAAAGATGACTTAGGTGGATAAACAGCCTTAATAATATTACTAGATCCATCTTTATAAGATCGTTCAAGAACGTTGATGAATAAAGGTAAATAAGTGGTTATAAATCAGGGGACAAAATACATAATTTGATTATGTAGAACAAAAGTTTCATAAAACTCTTGAGAAATATTATTCAAATCATTAGCACTATAAGTGTCAAAAAACCAAGTTTTAAGCTGGTTCCATTTATCACTCAAAAATTCATTCTGAATGTACTTTCTTGTCAGTGAACCTGGACTAAAATCTATTTGGTGTACATTTATCATTAAGTTTTATTGGGATCAAAATCCATTTCGGATACAGAAGGAATATCCTTATCAGAAATATCAGAAAAATTATCATTAGCTTGAACAACATTCATTCGAGGATCAATTTTATTTTATTGACAATTCTATTACCTTGATCCGCATATATAATAGAAGGTATGGTATGCAAAGAAGCTGCACGATTACGAGCCGGACCATACACAGGTTCAATAGGGGAAATATGATGAATAGCAGTCAATCTTGTATCAGAAAATGAATGTCTACTATAAGGAATATCATAAATGGTTTTAATATCAATTTTTGGAATAGTCCATTTGTTTAACAAAACAAGGTTCTGAGGTATATGTACCTCTTCCAATCTAGTACTTTTAGTACTTACTTCTCCTAGATCCATGTTCAAAAGAACATATCTATGTCGTATACTTCACATCAATCTCATATTTACCATGAAAGTTCCTAGGCTCTGATACCAATTTACAGGATCTCTGAAGACTGGCGGTAATCCGCGCGGTCAACTTCAATATAGCTTGTTAGCTGTAAATAAACTTGTATAGTTTACTCATAGGTCTTGGTGTCGGCCATCGTTATAAGATATTATATTTTATTTCAATCTTTTATTATTTCTTCGATCTGAGCCGTGACAATGTCCGGCTAAAGATTCATATTTATGTCGGATAACTAACTTCTCTTTTATATCTACCATGAAAGATCTAGACTTTATCAAAATATAAATAAATTTATATATGATTTCTTGATTTGCTTCCGAGATGGTGGTACAGTCAGGGTCGATACTATTTTTATTGGCTTTGTCTTTGTGACTCCATTTAGCCAGTTGTGGTTCTAAGTCCGTTAATGAGTTGAAAAGGGCACCTATACCCGGTTAGAACTGCTAGACACATGGACTTAATAAAAATACGTATTAAATCTTGACAGACCCTTTACTTGGGTAAAAGGATAGATCCTTCCATACAATCATAAAACTACATTAAATTTGTATATATTTCGATTCGGATTTATTCCTTGAATTCGGATGCTAACAAGCTAAATTGAAGTTGACCACGTGGATTACCGCCAGTCTTCAGAGATCCTGTAAATTTAACACACGCGCGCGCGCAAACACACTTATTTTATTTCATGTTAATGATAGGGATATTTTAGTCTTGAAAAAAATTACGTTTCTGCTTCTGCTACTACTTCTTTTAAGAAGCAGAATTTTTTTGCTTATTCTCAATTGTAGAAAAATTGCTTCTGCTTCCATTTATAAGCAGTGTTACCAATTTACAAACACCTTAATTTTTGAAAAAGGTTTTTTTTCCAATTAAGTTCTTTTAGCTCCCACCTAAATTTCTAGCAACATTACTCTTTTAATAGGAGAATATATAGGAAACTTATTAGTACCAAACTTCTATTAGTATTTATGGAAAAAAATAATATTTTTTTTTAAACTTCTATAAATTGAAATCGTTGGTCTCAATAATAATATAATTACATCAATCATATGTAGTCAATTGGCCAAATACAAACAACAGATCATTGTGTAGCTCTACAAAATTGATTTTAGATTATTAATTTATTGTCCAATATGTAGAGATAAGTTATGCAATATCTGGAAAAAAAAATTAAAAATTCTCTTTTCATTTATAACATGTTCCCATTAACTTAATTGTGTGTTTATTTTGTGTCATATGATTTTGAGTTTTTGTCCTTAATTTTAATTTAAACTATTTTTTTTGTTGTCCAACTTTTCATTTTTTGAATTTATGACCTCATAAAAAAGAGTGAAGGTGAGACGAAACTATTATGGCCTCTTTTTTCCTTTTCTTTTGTAGGATATGACAAACTATCTTAAGAAACAATGAAGATTGTTTGACATATTCTTGAATTGTTTGAATATATGTCCTGCGATAATGTATGTGAATTTTATTTCGAAAAATTTGAAAACTTAATTAATATGATTTGTTTAAATTATTATATATATTTCACATAAATTACTGTAATGATATTTTTATTGTTTTGATAAGCAGCAGTCAAAAAAATTTTTGAAATCAAGTGAAGAGTCGTGACATTTTTCGTGTGAGGACTTTGACAATCAATAAAAGCTTAGCCCTTTATTGAAAGACTCTGTAATAGTTATATTATTATGCTCATATGTAATGTATCAATTGTTTAGAGTATGTTTTTATGCATTAATATCAAACATAATTTGACTTTTGATATTAATGCGAAATTTTTTTCACTACATTTAATTTTGCCCCTTAGTTGTTAGTGTTATTGTAAGTTATCATATTCCTTTTAATTATATTTTTATCTTAATTTTTTTACGTTGTTTCTTTAAAAAGTTTTGTACTTAATAATATAATGTAGACATAATAATTTATTTTTAAATACATGTATTATTAATTAACACGATACACACATGCAAAGTACATACACTTGACTAGTTATATAAAAATATGAAGGTCCTTGGAAATAATTGATTAGACCTTTTGTTCTTCGTTAAAAGACTATGCAATAGATAAAACTGTCTTTTACTATGTTCCTCAAATAATTTTCATTCAATTATTATACTAATATTTAGGACTTCAAAATCAATTATAGTTATAACTAATAAATCTTTTTCTTATTTATAAGGTGTAAGAACTCCTAATATTTAATACTTTAAATTTGACTAAAATTTGGCTTCTCAAAGGAAGTCAAGTTCATTCTGTGAAAACTATACAACCACTTAGGGTATGTTTGGAAAGTCATCCTGGTAATTGAATTTGGTGTAATTGGGAGTGATTACACTATCTGACGTGTTTGGTTAGCCATGTAATTACCTGGTCAGGAGGTAATTGAGTGCAATTGGCAGAGGTAACTGCATTCTCCAATTCTCAGAGAGGGTTTGTGAATTGTTGATAATTACATGGTGTAATTATAAGCTGGTTACTTTTTATTTTTTTTCTTTTAATCTTTTTTTGTTTCGGTTATTTTAAATTCTTTTTTTATTATTGTAAAATTTTCTAAAAAAATATTCTTTATTTTTATTTTTTTATGTTTCGTTTCCTTCTCATTCTCAACCTTTACTTCATGTGATTCCACACAATTTTTCGTATTATCTATTTTTTATGTCATGTTTATTTATTTTCATTAGCACAATTTTGTTAGTATTCTAATTTTTAAATTAAAATAGAATTCATTATTGAGTAAGGTTATAGACTTGCATTTTCCTTTTCTTTTAAATCATAATTATGTATGTTATGTTGAATTTAACACAAGAGTATTATATTACATTTTTTGTTTTGAATTTAAAACTTATGTTATAATTTCAGTTTAATTTGTTTTAGTAGTATTGACTCGAGATTTCACATTGCAAGTCATTTATTTTTTTTAATTAAACTTGATAGATTATCTTTTAGTCAAATATTTTAATAATTTATGACGTTTTAGTTATAATTTTTTTTTTCAAACATGCATCATGATGTTCATAGAAATCTTGTACTTTTAGGTTTTATGATTAATTCAATTGAAATATACTAATTTGCGAAATATAAATCAATAGTTTTTTTTCCATAATATTAGTTAAAAACACATGTTTATTAATTAATATATTTTCAAAAGACAATATATATCTTAAATATTTCATTCAATATCATTTATAAAGTTGCTTATTTGTCAAATAGAAATTTTAAATAATTAACTTTTATTTTTAAAATTTAGTATAATCTTATGATATCAATTGTACATCCAAATAGTACATTTATAATTATACTGTGACAAACAAACATATCTATATAATCACTAGGCTAGTAATTACACCAATTCAAATTATCAATTGTCTTTTCAAATAGACCCTTAATGTCGAATAATTGGGAAAGGAAAGACGTCCATCAGTTATTCCTAATAAATAATCACAAGGCTTGCTAAATAGAATATAAAGTCCAGAATAGCTGCACAACTTTTCTAATAGAGTCGCAGCAAACAAACAGAAATGGACTCACAATGACCTGCTAATTTTACAGTAGCAAAATTCAGTATAGATGAAATTACTACTTTATAGGCATTGCTTATTTCTCTCTATACTGCCACATGAAATGCTGGCAGGCATTCGATCGCATGGTCCTGCTACTATGATTCCTCTATTTCATCACAACCTTTCTGAATTAGAAGAAGCCGGAAATCTACTGCACTCTCTTCCAACCCAAGTTCTTTATATGCTTTTAGAAGTCTATTGCAGCTGGAACGATCAAAAGCTGTTGCTGCAGATAGCTTCCACTGATCGATAATTTCTCCAGCTTCCTTCATATGCCCAAGCATGAGATATGATGAAAGTATGCAGATATAATTTCTGCTTGTCATTTTTTGATTAGTCATCCGTAAGGATTTCCAAATTTGATCAAGCTTCTCTTTATTTCCCAATGCACCATAGAGAATAATAAGGAAGTCATATGATATCCATTCTCTTTGTGTGATACCCTTCTCAGATTCAACTACAGAGTTCAACCCTGAGTTTACAAGGTTACCTGAGGTGATGTATATGTTAACAAGGTTCATGTATCTTATCCATTGTTCACCAGAGTCAGAGCCCCGACTTATTTCATCAAGAATCCGTCTAACCTTGTCAATGTTTAGAGCTGCAGCACATGAACTTACCCACAGATTATAAGTAAATAGGTCTGGTGCAACCTTTTGAAGTTTCATCTCTTCAACAATAAGAGGTACTTTCTCGAGCTGTCCGACAGACATGTACAAAGTCATCATTTCATTGTACGTGACAGTATTCAGAGAAAGATTTGCTTCTTTCATTCTCTCATAGAGGTCCTCAGCCTTCTCAGTTAGTCTCAAACTAGCATAGGAATGGAGGAGAGCAGTACATGTTTCAGTGGTTTTTACAGTGGTAGGCAGTCCTTCAAAATACCGTTCAGCAGAATCAATTCCAAAAACTTTGGTCATCAAGTCAATGCGGATAGCATAGTCGGAGTCCAATGCTTCATCCTGATTGTGGTAAACCAGCCATTCTGAGATCTGCAATGCTATAGGATGCAAATCAGTACTTATGCAACTATTACAGAATTACATTTTTATTAAGCCTTGATACATTTATTTTTTATAGTGAAACAACATTTATATTAAATTAGCAATTCTCCCTTAGTGTCTGGATTCTGCATGGGATAAAAAGCGGATTGAAAGTATGTATTTGGTTTGTTTTCTACAGCATGGAACTGGCTGGTGAAGGGGGAGTATGATCTACTGTTTATCTATGGATTAAGATAAATAAAGTAACCAAACAATGTATTAGATGGACTAAATTTTAATCCATGGACCATTCTAATTAATACCACCTACCAAACTTAGTGTCTGGATTCTGCATGGGATGAAAGTGGATTGGAAGTATGTACTTGGCTTGTTTTCTAGAGCATGGAACTGGCTAATGAAGGGGGAGTATGATCTACTTCAATAAAAATAAAAGTTATGGGCACTGAGATCTAAAACTTGGGATTGGATCGTACAGTCCCCTTTGAATTAAATAAAAGTTATGTCATGCAATAACATGGCGATTTACCCCTTTGATCATTTCTCCTCTTCCTCTTCAAAACAACACCCACTAACCATCTCTTCCCCACCATCCGACCCCTTGTTGCTATCCACAAGCTGCTGGATGCTCTACTACCCATTTACCCAATATTCCCAACTTCAAGGAATAAAACTTGTAATGACACTCACGGTGAGTTGATCAGTTCGAAAGAAATAATAAGGATTCAAGTTAATGAATGTGGTTTGGATAGAGGATGAAAGTTTATCTCCCCATATTCGTCAGTTAGGTTGGTTCTGTCAGAGAGAATTTCATGATGGTTTCAGATAAGATTCCGTCCGACCTAGTGAAGGAGGTGCAGCTGGAGAAGGGTATTTATTGCCAATTGTTTTTTTTTTTTAACTTGGCAACTTTATTTACTGCCAATTGTTACTCTACCAGTTTTTCAAATTTTGTGTTTTAGGTTTATGAAGGAGCTAAGACAAGCATACAATCTTTAAGCAGATGTACAGTCATATCCCTCATCTCATAAACCCAATACAAAATACCAAGTCAAGAAATCTCATGTACAATATTACTTGCATATACTCCTAAAGTAACAGTACTCTCAAACCCAGTTACACTAAAAAACTATTCCTGAATCAACTGTAGTGCAGCCCTACCTAATACTATTGGAGAACCAAATGTCCCCTCAGGATTATATATTTGTTGGAACTGGTTCAGCTTACATATGCGTCAAAGAGCACATGGAACATTAGGCAGAATTCAAGTCTGGGTAGTTTGATTACTGCCAGTAGCTATACAGTGAGTAGTTGTAAAGCATAACAACATTCTCCCACCAAGAAGTTTCATCCAGCTAACTGGCTAAAATGTGATTACAGATATCTTCATGGAATTTTAAAACATAATGGTCCTTTCTTCCAAAAATAATAACAAAATAAAACCTAATGTTCTCTATCTTATGGCCAAATAGAAAGACATTACTTGGAAATTTCAAGTCAACAAAATTGTATGATAACATTATTGTCTGTATAACCAAATCTTCACACAGCAGAGGTACTTGTAGGAGTTCATGAAGGAAAGGGGAAAAGCTCCTCAACTAGCTTAGAATCCCTATCATTAGAACATAAGCAAAGACAATAGATACTAAGAAAGAAGAAGCTAAAAATATTCAAAATAGACAAATAAAAAGAAAAAATCTCTGAACTAGCTATGACAGTTCCTTAGTTAACCAGTTTTGACTCTGTTAATATCTGTTATTAAAATTGGACATGAACTCACAAAGAAGTATAACTCACTGATCCGTCATTTCTATCCACAGGCTTTTATTGAATTGTAATCTTTGTTATCCACAGGCTTATAGATGAATCTGACTTTGGACTAAAACTAGAAAAGCTGTAACAGTTCTCATCCAAAGTAGCTATTTCATTGCTTTGATGTGTGCAACCAGTCAATCAACTAACCTTCAATACCAAACTAGTAGGATCAGCTATATGATCCTCTTTAGACATCCAGATAGAGATCCATTTCATCCGACTATAAAATAATTATCTTGGAAAATGCTGTAACTATGCAAGTGTAACAATAAAACTAAGCTTTAATCTCAACTAATTCATATAGCTTGCATAGATCCGCTGCTTCCTTTGTTTCTTGTTCCTAGTTGAGTCTGCATTGCTTTCAAGAGAACGTAGATCTTTTGAGCAACTCCCCTTCCATTTTTTTTAATTTTTTTGTGACAACTGTGGCATTGGCTAGCTTGCATGACAATTCAACTGATGCACATATCCTTCCACACGTATTGGGTAATTCCTCACTAAGGCTTAGCCTTTTAGGCAGATGGAAGGTAACCACCAAACTTCATTTTTTGATTGTTAAGTAATGAACAAACTTTATTATCTTTACATGGATATGAGTGCTGGTCTCCATTGGCCTTTATTCCAATATAATCGCCACAAGGCTACACCTTTAGGTGTTTCGTTTCACATTATTATAGGTCTAATTTGTTCCCCACAATCACCTTAGATCATGAAAACATCACACTAACAAGTCAGTGCATATTGAGGTCTACACAGAACATAACAAAACTATCACATACAACATTCATTCAATTTTCCCTCTATAAGTGCTACATGTGCCTTCCATCATATGTGTTTGTTTCTAATTTTGTATGACCACAAATGATTTCAATATCCACACTTCTCTACATTCATCTTCCGAATAAGTTAGGTTTTATAAGCTCAGCATTTACTTCCATAAACATTATCAGCTAACTACCATAACAAACTTACTTTTCACTTTGTTAGGTATCTTCCTATTGTGTAGCACTCTCGGTGCCCTCTTCCATTTCAGTCACTATAATTCAATTCTGTGTTAGGTCTCCATCAGCTTGAAAATTGTGGAATGAACATAGAAGATTCATATTGCCGACACCAACAAGATTGGGACTGAGAAGTAGTTGATCAATTGATCATGGTACCATTTTAATGGGTTTCTCATATGATGCTATGAAATCCATTCGATGAAATAATCTTATTTACTCCACAGCAGATTGGGCAAAAAGAAAAATAGATTGAGGAATAAAGAACCTCAAGGGCGTGCTTAAATCTGCGCGACTTTCGGAGTTCTTTGGAGATGTGACGGAGGTCGGAGATGGATATTAATCGGCCTTCACCGACCCATCTCTGAAGCGCGTTGGTGGCGCTTCTTTTGGGTAGTCTAAGACTGAATATTCTGCTCTTCAAATCATCTGGGGTTTCGCCCCTTTCTTCCTCAGAAGAATTTGGGGAGTCTTCATAGACAACTTCAGTTGTTGTAGTAAAGGATCTAAATAGACTCCTTTCTCTGCCACGAGCATTTCTGAATTCCCGGAAACAAAAATAGAGTTACTATAACAAGAATAGCACAACAGTAGTGTACAGAAACGGAGACGAATAGTGAATACCTTGTGAGTTTGAGGAAGATAGTGCGAGCAGCCATGGAAATTAGAGATGAATTGGGAAAAGAAACCCCTCCAAAGTCCTGTTTAATTTGGGGCCAAAGAACCTCCAAATCTTGATTTTAAAAAGAGATGTAGCTCCAAAAAAAAAAAATCCTAAATTATTCATGTTATAAAAAATTAAGACTTTTTTAGGTTAAGCTGTTTTTTTATTCTTTACATAATAGAAATTAATAGTGAGTTAATACAATAGTTGATGGGCATTCCCCATTGCCGAATGTTGGGTCGTGGTATGGCCATTAATATCAGTATTACAAAATTGGATGCTTCGAACAAAAAAAGTTTCATCGATGTCTACTTGTAGTGCCTCTCTAGCACACACTCGGGGAACTTCCAAAAGGATATGAGCATCGTGATTCCCTCATCCCTTCCTTAGCTATCGCGTTCGCTACCCTGTTCTGATCTCTGTACACATGTGTCGAGGTTGAGATTCCTAGTTGTTGCATCAAGGACCTACATTCAAAAATTATATTGGCATAAGGTAGTGTCCTTTCAGGAGTATTGAAATTGCACGGGTAATGATCTTATGAAGTTCAACTTGTGTACTGCTCATATGTGTTTGTTTTTTGCTGAAACCCATAGCCAGTGTCTATTATGATCCCTGATTACACCCCCTTGATGCCTCCTGGGCCTAGTTCAATGCTTGCTAAGCCATCCATATTGAGCTTTAAAGAACCTTTAGGTGGAGGAATCCATTTGACTTGGATGTTTGCCTTCTATAACGTTTTTGGACTTCCTTTCTTGATTAACAAATGATATTCAGTTGCATTTGTAATTACATGGTTTATCTAGACGTGGTAATTATTCTTATTAAAGGCCTTGTCATTTCTGCTTATCCACAGGTTCCATATGCTGAAGGGGATGATAGTGTTCCAAGGTAAACATTGATTAAACTGTTTGTGCTTTATCGAGTTCCAAATGGCATTCTAGTTGTCCGCGTTCAGTGAAGAAGTGTCCATTTGATGCTTGGAGTACTTTTTAGAGATAGACTCTGCCAAAATGTTTTGGGTTTGGGTATAAGAAGAAGTTGTGGGTAATATCCTCTCAGATACCTCCACAGAAATGACATTTTGGCTCCAAATTAATCCCTATGTTACAGAGGCAATAGTTGGTGATGAGCCTTTTGTGTTTCAAGAGCCAAATGAATGTTTTGAGTTTGTTAGGAATCTTTTGCTTCCAGATCCAATCAAACTTGTTATGTTTCATTTTCTCAGTTCCTGGAGTGCCTTCATTGATGAAATAATAGGTGTTTCTGGTGGAAAATATGCTATTATGGGTAAGGCCCCATATAATCTTATCTTCTATGCAGTTAGAGAGGGTTGGGTGATTGTCATGGATAGCATAGATGATATGTTCATGGAGTGGAATGGATAGATTGTCAAACACGCACTGTCCATTACCAAAGAGAGTATTTAGTACTCTTCATTCCTTTGGAAAGGGCCTGGGTTAAGCTTCTTATAGTACCAAGGTTCGGAATCCATTTATCCTCAAAGAATCTAACTTTGTTGGGGACATTTAGAACCCTTAGTGCATGTCTTCCATCCTTGGTCAATACATTTCCTAGTTATTGAAACATCTCTATCTTTTTCTAGTACTGTCCTTGTTACGGCAATATTTGTAGTAGAGAATCTTTTCCCATAGAGCATTAGGGTTCTTAAAGTCTCTCCAAGCAAGGCCCGTGTGGATGACTTTGTTTTTTATTTCTCTTTTTTGGAACCTTAGCCCTCCTTCCTTTTTTGTTTCAGAAATGGCATCTCATCCCACTAAGTGAGGCTTTCTCTTTTCGGAGGTTGTTCCCTAAATGAAGTTTCTTTGAATTTTGTTAATGGAGGTGTTAATCTTTGCAGGAAGCTGAATTTATTGCATGATATGGAAAGGAATGTTACATAGGGAAAACTTGGCTAAAACAGTTCTACTGGTCATGTTAAGGAATTTGATTTTATAGCCACAGAGCCCTTTCTACATGTTGTCGATAATGAACTAGAAGTCTCCATTAATAGGTTTGGAGTGGAAGATTGGAAACCCCAAATGTTTCTCGAAAGAAGTGCTTCTTTGGATAGTGAGGATGGTAGAACAAATGCCTGAGTTGGTACTGGCTATTCTAGGAGAAAAGGACCTTGGACATACTCAGGTTGAGTTTTTGTCCAAATTGCTTGTAGAATTGATTCAACATTAGCATAATGTTTACACAACTTTGTCTGTTTTCAATGGAGAAGAGGGTGAGATCATCTGTAGAGAAAAGGTGGGAGATTTTTGGTCCAAATATTGAGATTCTAATAGGAGTCCAAGACTTGTCCGATACAACTACATTGATACTTCTGGAAGTCTCTCCATACAAATTATGAATATGTAGGTGAGATGGTCCCAGTCAGATATCTTCGGAAGGATAGAAGTAGTCAGTTTTTGATCCATTGATGAGTATAGAAATGGATGTAGTGGTCATGGAAGACATGATAAACTTAATAAGCTTTGGTGGGAAGTTGAAGAAGTCCAGTGAGTCTTTGAAGAAGGACCATTCCAGTCGGTCAAAGGCCTTTTTTAGGTCAATCTTTAGGAACATGTTTGCTTTGGTGCCCTTCATTTTCTTAACATTGGAAATGTATTCTTGGACTATGATGGCATTGTTCAAAGCTCTCCTTATAGAGAGGAAGCTGGCTTGACTAGGACTAGAGGTGTAAAAAATGAGCCCAACTATAGATAATCCGTCCAACCCACTCAGAATTTTAAGGGTTGGGCTCAAGATAATTTGAATTCGGTTTAATGTCAACCCATTCAAGCCTTAACCCATTTTGAGAGAATCCTCAATTGAGACCAATTTAATCTCCAATTTTAATCTGTTTTAAGACTCTTTATTTGCATTGATGTAATGTATATTCCTTATATTGAAGGTATGAATTACTATCTATTTTATGTCTTTTAGGATCTATCTTTCAATTTGTAGGTTTTTTAAAAAAAATAATAATTCTTGAGTTGGAATTCTAATTATGGTTATAAAACTTCAATAACAATATATTAAGATTATTGAGATTAAGCGGGTTAAATTGGGCGGGTCAAGACTCGGCCCGTTTTTAGCCCAAAGTAAACTTGGGTGGGTAAGGACCCAACCCAATTTGAATTTCAACCCATTTTAATATCTCCAATTTCAACCCAATCCGCCCATTTGACACCCCTAGCTAGGACCAATGATTTTGGGGTTGTACGCTTTCATTCTGTTAGCAATGATTTTGGTAACAATTATGTAGCCAGTGTTGCATAGCCCAATGAGTCTGAAGTTTTTTTTAGCATGGTGGCATTCTGTCATTAAGGGATGACACAAAGTAGTGTTTTATTCATTTGGGGGTCCATTCTACTATGTCTAAAGGTATCCTCACATAATTCCACAACTTCCCCTTTCACTTTTTCCAATACTTTTGATAAAAGAGGGATGGAGGCCACCAGGGCCTGGTGCCTTGGTTGGCTTGAAAGTTTTGATTGCTTGAAGAATTTCACTCTCCTTTACATGGGTGTCTAGATAGTTATCCATGATATCAGTTAAACAATTAGGCTCATGTCTAGAGTACATTTTGGTAGGTCGGGAGGTTAGGTGGTCAGTTATGTAGAGACTAGAGTAGAAGAGGGTCATATGGCCCTTTATGTCAGCTTGCTCATGGAGTCAGTTGCCCCTTTCATCTATAAGGTCCAAGATTATGTTTCTATGCCTCCTGGTGATTGTTGAGGTTCGGAAGAATTTAGTATTTGAGTTACCATCACTAAGCCAACTGAATTTGGATTTTGTTATTCAAAATTCTTCTTCTTTTTCTTCTTCAAATTTCAACATGATATCATATTCAGCTAATAGCTTTTTTCCAAGAACCTGGAGGAAGATGTTGTGAGGGTAGATAGAGGATTTTTAATCAGATGTCATCTATTCTTGCAAAGAGTCTCTTTATTTGATGCAAGATATTGTCAAAGGTTTGCTTATTCCAATCCTTGGCCTTATCTTTAAGAAGGTAGATGGAATAAATAAGGGAGTTTGGGTGGTCAAATGAGCTCTGGATTAGGCCTGCGAAAGTAGGTTGCCTGCACCACTTGGACTCCATCATGAAGGGCATGTTCTAGTAGTTGGGCCTTTCTTTAGTTAGTTTTACCAATAGTGGGGAATGATCAAAGTGATTACAAAGTAAATGGGTGTGACTAAACTTGTGGTATTTGAGAATCAAGTATCATTGGCCACACACCTATTCAACCTTTCAAGGATAAGGTTACATACTTTTGGCTTTGTATCTTTTATTGGTCCAAGTATACTTTCTGCCTTTAAGCCCTAGATCTATCATTTTACAATGTTAAGGCATTTCCAGAGGGAGTTAGCTCTTTTACTATTGATATTACTTCCTACAAACTTGTCCTTGGCTAGGAGAACTTCGTTGAAGTCACCTCTTATAAACCATTCGCTAGAGTAGTTTTGGGATATCTTATGGAGATTGTCCAAAAGGATAGTTCTATCATTGTAAACAGTGCTAGCATATATAGCTGAAAAAATCTAGGGATTAGGAAAGACATTTACCTTAAACATGACATGAACCCCTTGTAGGGTTAATTAGATGTTGTTGATCTTGAGAGACTCCTCCTTCCACATTATGAGGATGCCACTTGAGAGTCCCTCAACCGCTATTTGAATTTTTGTATCAAATCCTAGGTCTTCTACAATTTTCGCATATTCGTCATTTTAGTCTCGAGGAGTACCAACATTAAAAGTTTGTGCATCTTAACCAGCACTTGGCATTTTCTTCTGAATGAGGCATTTGTTCCCCATATCATTCTAAATCATAATGTTCATTGGACTCTCTTGCATTTGTGGATTCTCTATTTTGCCTTTCCCTTTCTCCATTTTGGGGGGAAGGAGAGAGGGGAGGGGTGGGGATTCTTGATTCCCTCAAGGGGTTCAAAACTACTTTTGGTGGTGTTTCACTCTTCTGATTCCTCAAGTTCAAAGTGATATTCCTCATTGCAGTTGGATATGCTACTAAAACAACTTCACTGGATGGCTCTTTGAATTCTTTCGTTATTAACTTTCCTATTAATAAACTTCTGCGCTTTTGATCTA